ATCCGTGATGGTTATTATCCTTGCAGGAAAACCACACGGCCTCCCGGGGGTGCGGCAACATGACAAGGACACTGTACCAGGAATGCCAGGTTTTCAGACCAGCAGACAATGTCCCAATGTGGAAACCCCGTGCCGCTGAAGCCTCTCGACTCTGCCCCACGCCCCCAAAGCGTAGGGGAAGCTGGTCCTATGCGTAAAGATCCCGTAAACACTGAGGAACTAGAAACGGAGGAGCTGGCCAACATGGCTGGGAAGGTGGGCAGCTCGGTGGCAGCAGCCTTGCTGGGCAGGCAACTGGGGTTCGGGTCCCACACTTTAACCCACTCATGAGACAGAGATGGGGTCCCCAGAGCAAGAGCATCTGAGCACCTATTTCATCGGGGGTTACCTCAGCAAACAACATGGAGTCAGGGAAGACACCAAAATCAACTCTGCCTGCACATGCATGGACATGTGCACACACACACACACACACATTACACTGGCAAGCATGCGCACATACACACACACACACACACACATTACACCAGCAAGCACACACACACACACACACATTACACCAGCAAGCATGCACACACACACACACACACACATTACACCAGCAAGCATGCGCACACACACGCACACACACGCACACACACGCACACACACACACGCATTCGTAAAACACAAATAAGCTTATAAACACCAGCAGGAAAATCACTTGAACTAAATAGAACGGGAAGGCCTAGAATCTGAACACGTAATATTAAAGGTTGATTTTTAACTGGATCAGAAGAACAACAACTCAGTTTCGCTGGTGCCAAAAAGCGGCTAGAGAAAACTTCCCCTTCAACAGTTTGCTCATTTGGGCGTTAGAGCATTCCCTTCTCACGAGCGTGATGGGCAGCCACTCACGCTCGGCAGGGCGGCTGCACAGCGGAACGGTGCCGCCTGGCAGACGCCGCTGGCGCAGCAACTGTCACCCACTAGGGATCAATGCCACCAGAGCATCTGCCCGAGGACACTCACCTTGGCTTCATCCCGTTTTGATTTCCTAGGTTGTGGTTTGGGTTTTGAGACAGTGTCTCAATATGCAGCTCAGGCTAGCCTCAGATTCAATCCTCCTGCCTCAGCCCCGAATGCTGGGGATACGGAGACCACCCTTGGCTCAGCCCTGTCGTCAGTAGGAAAACTTAGAGCCTCATAAACTCCCACTGTGTTACTTTCCTTCCTGCTGCTGAGACACACCTGACAATAACAGCTTGAAGGAGAAGTGGCTCATTTTGGCCCACAGTTTCTGGAAGGCGACAATCCATCGGGCAGAGAAGACACAGCAGCAGAGCATGGAGCCGTCAGGCAGTGAGCGAAAATGAACAGGAAGTGGGGTCAGAATACAAAACCTCAGCGCCACCGGAGGGGTGTACTTCCTCTGTCAAGGTTCCACCTCCTACAGTTCCCAGAACCTTCCAGAACCTTCCCAAAGAGTTCCACCAGCTGGGAACCAAGGGGTCAAACCCATGAGCCTGTGGGGACATTCCATACTCAAACCACAACTCCCCTCCCTGGCAGTGCACACAGTGTGACCAGCTGCCGGGCATCGCCGCGCTGCGTCCCAGTTCCCACATTACACACCACGGAATACCTGCCACCATGCTCTTCTGCGGCCGCCCGGGTCCTCTCCAACCGGAAGCCAAAATAAAGCCTCTTCCCTCAGGCGTCTTCTGGTCAGGCATTTGATTACGCCACCAGAAAACAACTGACATCACTCTCGGGCCCTGCAACTCGTCTCAGAAAGGAAAACGCAAAAGTTGGAACCTTAGGCTCAGGAGCCACAGAACTCTGTAAGTGTAATGAGCCACTCTGGTGGGACCACACAAGACCAACGTGGCAGGAGCAACGTGGAGGGCCGCTGTCCCATGAGACCCTGGCCAAGTAGACGTCCCCGGGCAGGCCAGACTAGCCTTGAACTTGCAAGGGTCCTGGTGTCTGTCTTCTGAGTGCTGGGGTTGCAGTCATGTGCCACCACTGCCAGCCGACCATGAGTCTTGGTGGATCACTCTGCGTGTGTGCGTGTGCGTGTGCGTGGCGCTACGCAGGTGCCGGGAACACAGCTCTGAAATGGGCTCACACGGACGGCAGCTGAGAGTGAGCTTCGCACCTGCCCCAGGCCCACTGCACAGGTGTGCACCTTTCTGTTCACGGGGGCGTTCCCTCACAGGCCGGGGAAGCGCTGCTTTGTGCCTGCCGCCCCTCCACCTGCCCTGCCACGGCTGTGTTCTTGGCCTGACTCATCTCTCCACCAAGCCTGTTAGGAAGAGGTCCTCCGCTCACCTCCTAAATCAGGGTGAAGCGCCCACCCATGGCATCGCCTCCGAACACCTGTGAGCGCACTGTGCGCGCTGGGCAGGCAGACATGGCATCTGTCCTGTGCTGGCGGCAGCCAGGGCCTGACACAGCTGGCCAATAGGAAGAAAGAGCCTGAAATAAGCGCAAGCTCCAGGAGAACTACATAAATCCCGACATCAGCCAATCAGTTGCCACTCCCTCAGGAGGGGGTAAAGTGTGAAAGAAGTTGGGAGACCGAGGTCAGGTTCCAGAGAGAAAGCTGAGGTATTGCTGCTGGGTCCTCAGGTCGTGCCTTCTGTGTTCTGTGCGGGTGCTATTTTTTAACTCGGCTTCACTTGGGGTTCCTTAATGCCTCTACCTCCCTTCCGACACCCCAACACCAGGCAGGAGAGAAAGAAGGCTACAGGGGAGGGGGAGGAGTTCTCTTTAGCTACTTCTGCCTGGTTAGGGTCACTGGTTCTCTGGGAAAAGAGCAGTCTCTGTCATCAGAATACCTAGCAGCCCGGCAAAGGCGGCTGGACGAACAAGCAACCTTCCTCCTCCTCCGTGTTCTCGAAGCCTCCTCCCACTACCGGAGCTCTGGTATTTACAGTCCTCACGGTTAAACTGTCTCCAGCTGGCAAAGACCACGCCCCTGCTCTAAGCAGTAATCAGCTGTGGACAAACTAAAATCCTGCACGTGGGATTAAAACAAAAACATGTATCCATGTCATGAGCCAAAATGTCCACAACAAGGGCCCATGACTCAACTGAGCAAACACCGGGCACCGTATGACTCGGGATAGAGATTTAAATTTCATCCATGGCCACTTGGGAGGGCTGAGGGGACCAAGCATTTTAAACAGTGCAGACTCGTGTAGAGTTTATCTGCTAAAGGAAGGGAGGGGAAACCAGGTGAGCGATGATTCTTGGAGAGTTTTGGTGGGTTGGTGGTGGTGGTAGTGTTTGCGTTTTGGTTTTCTGGGATTTGTTTGGGGAGAGGATGGATGGCTTTTTAAGACAGCGTTTCCCTGAGTAACCCTGGCTGTTCTGGAACTCACTCTGTAGACCAGGCTGGCTTTGAACTGGCAGAGATCGCCTGCCCCTGTCTCCGAGCGCTGGGATTACAGGTGTGCACCACCACCGGTGTTTGGAGAGTTTCGCATCAACTTAAAAGCAGAGCTCAGGTCAGCGAGCTAAGCTCAGAGACTTCACCTGTCTCCACAGCCTCCACAGCCTCGGGGGCTCCTTCAGCCGAGCAGGTGGTCAGTCATGGAGAGCCTGCCAAGCTCAAAGCTCCCACTTGTAGTGCAGGGGGGGCCTCGGCAGGCAGGGCCTCAGAGAGCAGGGAGCCCCCCCTTTCATCTTCACTCCCCCTGAGGCCTGTGCCCACCAGAAGGAATATAAAGTAATTAGCAATATAAAATATAAAATAATTAGCAATTTAAGCTGCGTCTCCTTCTGTCTCCCTTGTGTTCCATTGCGTGGCTGGATTTGGGCAAGCTGAATGTATCCTCTAATGAGGCTTTGAAACTCTTAAGCAAACTACAAAAGCAGGGCACTCTATGAGATGCCCCTGCCAGTTCCCGCTCTGCCCCCTGAGCAAGTCACACCGCTCAGTACACAAAGGCTCCGGTGTGTTAGCTCAGAGCCCACGCGCCGCCCCGTCTCCTTGAGAAGGGTGCTGTGGGTGTGCTCCCGGTAAGCCCTTCGGCTTGGAGCTGTATCACCCTAAGGGGAGGACCAGCATGAGCCCTCACCATCCACCACCTCATTCTCCCTAGAGCTAACCCTGAGGCGGAAAGGAGACCGGCTAGCTGAGGCAACGGTTCCTGCGGACAGCTGGCTCGCAGCGGCCAGGGCGCAGCTCTACACTCAACATCTGCATAACCACCAAGCCAACAGTTCCCTCGGCATTCTGGACAGACGGGAGCATAGTCCCGATGCTTCCAGAGCAAACTGCCACCCCCGAGCCTAGAACAACACCCAGTGAACACACCCCAGGCCCCATCAGGGCGCTCTGGAAATGGTACTTGAACCATAGACCTGCTCATCAATCCTAATGTTGTTAAGGTTCTTCACTGGCCCGTGTGCGTGTGTGTGACACACGAGCGTGCGTGTCTGCATCTATGTGCACGCGTGTATGCAGGTGCACGTGTGTGTGCGTGGGTGTGGAGACAGACTAGAGGCTGACGCCAGCTGCCTTCCTCGATCAGAGTATAATTACTCATGAGCGAAGCAGAACCAGGGCCTGAGGGTGCGGCTCAGGGGTGGACTGCCTGCCTGGCGCACAGGCCCCGCTGCGTTTGCCTGCAACACAGCCACCACGAGGGAGGAGTCCCGCTGTGGCGCGTGCTCACCTTCCTCGCTTCCTAGGATGCTCGCCTGTTAGCAAGAAGACAGGTAAGAGAAAGCCGAGCTCTGCACTTGCACGGCCTCTGACTTCATTGTGGAGTTGGCAGAGGGGACTGTGGCCAAGACAAACACGAACGCACAAGGCAGCGAGATGCAAGGAGAGAAGGACGCGCTGCTCCCTGCTGCCTTCCACAGCCCCAGGAACCAACAGGAAAACACCAGCAGATGGAGTCTCCCTCGTTAGCCACATACAGTAACCAGCGGAGGGAGAGAAGGAAAGCAGGCAGCCACCGAGGCGAGGCCTCGCACGGGGAAGGGCTCGGGGGTCGGACACTCACTGTTCTTCTTGTACATCAGGATCTCGAAGGAGTTCATCTCATAGTTCTCCAAGGTCTGGCGCACCTTCTCGACCGTGTCCTTGTCAGTCAGCTCCCCATACATGAAGCTGAAAGTCAGCAAAAGGCCATCAGCAAGTCAGCAAGTCTTTGTCCGTGTGCAGGCTCATGCGAAAGCCCTGTTCCACGCCCACACGTGAGTACACACATATGTATGAACACAGGTACACTCACACACACGTGAACACACACGAACACATGTGCGCTGACACACCCGTGAACACTCATGCACATACAAAGCCTACATGCACACACCGTGAAAACTTAATTGAATTTAAGAAGACTCATCGATTTAACCGTGTGTTTAAGGAAAGCCTCCACTTTCCCACTTCGGCCCCTGTAAACTGAGCTTCTATGACAGACACTTGAGAGATCGGCAGACGTGAAAACCGAAGGATGAGTGCCGCAGTGCGCCGGGGCGGGCACTCGAGTAGTGACAGGCTCCTGGGCGGTGAGCACTAGTGGGATCTCAGCGCTGGGAAATGGGCTGGGAAGGGCGTGCACCAGGCAAGTCAGCGTGCGCCACCCAGAAAGGTCAGAGGTCATCCTGGAACTGGGCGTGTGTGTCAGCAACACATGACAGGAGAGACCGTGGCGCTCTCAGCTTTGAGGGTAACTAACACTTGAGCCTGTCACTCACTGGAGACTAGGGGAAAGATGACTGGGTAAATGTGAACCAGAGAGAGAGAGAGCAAAAAGGCGGCACAGCCTGGTACTCTGACATAGAGATGCGGCCGGGGAAGGACCGAAGGTTCTGCACAGTCTGTGCCGCTTCTCCAGCCTCCTCGCCCTCGGCAAAGACAACAGCACTGGGTGGAAGGCAGTGAGCCAGTAAAATCCTAGGAGCCTTTAATAACATCTTCCTGCTGCCCGACTTTGGAGAGAAGCAGCCTAAGGACGTAAAGACGCAGTGCGCAGAGGAAGACGGGCGAGTCTCGGGAGGGGCGGGCGCCGCCTGGGAGCCCCAGCTCCAGCAGAGGCAGGAAGGACGCCAGGGCCGTCCCACTTCCCGAGATCTACCTCCAGCCTACTCACCCCGGCCCAGCCTCCCAGGGGCACACAAAACCCTCAGCCAGGTGGGATGGCCAGGGCACAGGACACTAACAAGCTGCAAGGAAGACACACATGGAAGTTGTGCTCTCCGACACCAGCACCCAGGGTCAGGCGGGCATCCCTGACACCCTGGGCCTTTAGGCAACAAGGGGGGAGAGCACAGAGACCCTGCCGCGGCCTAAGGCTGTGCGGAAACATGGGAGAGCAGACGAACCACGCATCTCCCATCGGCTAATGCTGTGCACAGATGTATTCTTGCTTCCTCATGAGAACCCGACTCATGGAGTCCAGAGAGAAGAAACACCTCAAGAAGTGTACTCTCAGGCTCCTGACCACACACTGGGTCCAGGGCCACACGGGCCTGCAGCGGAGCACCCCCCATGCTGCCCAACTCTGGCACTCAGTAAGGAAACAGTCACAGGCACGGATTCTCTGAGCGTCCTGTCACTTTGTCATTTTATGTTCCTCTAGCCACTGAGATGTGTGACTGACTGTGTGATGTCCTTGTAGCACTTGGCTTTGGGGCTGACTCACAACCCAAATGCCAGGAAAACACAAATCTTGGAAATATCTCTACAAAGAGCAGATCAAGACCAGATCATCCCAGCCTACTGGCCTCTCCTCCCTCCCTCTTCCCCTCCCTCCCCCCCCTCCATGTCTCTCTCTCAGTCATTTTCCTGACGCCTTCATTTAAGGGAAGTGGCAGTACCACCAGAGCTGCCGCTTCCTCGCAGAACCCCATCTCTGAGTCCCCACTGATGAAGAGCAGGCCACACCCATTTGCTCACACACCTCTCCAGGCTGGAGCTCACTGGTGGGTGAACATTACCCGGACATGAAAATGCGCATGTCTGCAGTGTGTAGAACAGAGAAAGGAAAGGCCTGGGCCATCTGGAAGCCACTGGGAGTGTTCAGGTGTCACGGCTGAAAAAATTGCTTAGAACTGTATAAAGGAAAAGTTGGCAACATCAAGGGAATGTCTCTTTCCTGGAGGTGCTACAGCCAATAAAAAGGGGGAACACTGCTCTGGCTGTGCAAAAAAGTAAAGCTAACTCTTGGGACCCGTCAGCCATAAACCTTCGGGTGGAGAAAGACACACAGGGATGGACTCTCAGCAGAAAACAGGAAATACAGGACACTCAGGTACGCCAAAGAAACAACTTCCAGATCTACCAGCAGAAATAAAGCCCTAAACTATCCCCTTGTCAGGCTTGGTGATCTAGAATTTAACAAACTTTAACTAATGTCCAAACATGTAACACCGTTTGTCAGCAGCTACGTGGCTCATCTACCACATGAAAACACAGGCAGCATGGCGAGGCCACACTCCTCGGTGACTTCTTGATTTAGATGATGGCTCCATTCCACACGTCCACCACGGAAGACAGGGCAGGGGCGCCCAGAGGCTGTGCCTAGCCGAGATCCAGCCATGGCTGCTGCCAAGGAGTGCTGGGTGGGGTCCAGGCTGTGTGCTGCCTCGCCACCCCAGGGTCCTGGAGGGGAATCCCTACAGCCGAGCGAGCACAGACGACATGGGATGGCTTCAGGCTGAGGAACAGCTTATGACGGAGGCCCTACCTTGAAATTGCTCTATAAAATGTTCATAAAGTTGTAAAACTTTGCGCTGGGAATGTAGCTCAGCTGATAGAGTGCTTGCCTAAGAGTGCAAGGCCCTGGTTTCGGATGCCAGGCCCAGACAAGCAGCTGTCTGGCACACTCCTGGGAGCCCAGCACTTGGGAGCCTGCGGCAGGTGCAGCAGACTGCAGGGTCATCTTTGGCTACCTAGCAGGTCCGAGGCCAGCCTGAGCTACATGACTGTCTTGATTTCACTAATCAATTTTTAAAATCCTGTTTAATCTTCTAACTCTCACATTAACTTCTATCCTAACCTCATAAACTTTTGAGTTCACATACAGATCTTCCTGCTTTCCGTTCCCCATCTTACTGACTGCTGATTCGTCAGTTGCAGGGGCCGTGTTCTGCTTCCCCGTTGGTTTTCTCAGCACACACCACAGGAGCCACAGCAATAAAAATCCACAAGACATACAGTCAGACACTGAGGCAATCTTCCTCTAGCCAAGAGACTCCAGCCTGCACTCCCGAGAGGAGAGGCGCACGCTGTACCTGCAGGCGCTGCTTTTCTGCATGACCTCGGCGCGGTGGTAGCCGGACAGCTTGCAGAACCCGTCATTGCTGTACACGATGGGCCAATCCACTATCTGAGCATTGCCCAGCACGAAGTTGGTGTCTGTTCCAAAACAAGCAGAGAGAGCACGTGAGGCAAGGCGTGCGCGGGTGCGTGTGTGTGTGTGTGTGTGTGTCTCGGCACGCATGCAGAGGCCAGAGCTCAGTGGAAGGTGTCTTCCCTGACTGACCTCCCTCCACATGTCCCTGGAGCGCTCCGCCTGTGCTGGCCGATGAGCTCCAGGGAGCCACCTGCCTCAGCCCATCCCTCGCTGAGCTGCGGGCACACGGCCCTGCACACAGCCGCTCACACGGGTGGTGTAGCTCAAAGCGAACGCTCTCGTTCACGCAGCAGGCGGGAAGAGAGTGCACGCCACAGGAGGCTGAGACACGAGGGTCCCCACAGCACACTCGAGGCCAGCTCTGACCAAGTAAGACCCCAGCAGAATAATAAAAGAGGGGCCTGGGCAGGAGGCTCGGGAAAGTGACCACTCGCTGTTCGGCACGGCACGAGGAGCGTTGCTCAGACCCCTGAACCCCGTGCCAGGCGCAGTGGTACTTCTCTGTGATCCCAGAACACAGGGGTTGAGACATACACAGAGAGAGAATCCCTGGACCAAGCAGCCTGGCATACATGGCAGTCACCGAGACACATGGACATTCACACACTCACAAACAAGTGAAAAGCCCCAAAGGCCCCCCGCCTCCGACAAGACTGCATGGTGGTTTGAATGAGAGCAGCTCCCATACGCTCGTACAGTTGAACACTTGGTAAGGCTTTTTGGAAAGGGTTAGGAGGGGTGGCCCCATTGGAGTACTGTGTCGCTGGGGGTGAGGTTTAAAGTTTCAAAAGCATCATGCCAGCCTGATCCCTCTCTCTTCCTCTCCGTCTCTTTTTCTCCCTCTCCCTCCCTTTTCCTCTCCCTCTCCCTCTCCTTCTCTTTCTCTCTCCCTCCCTCCCTCTCTCTCTCTCCTTCTCTCTCCCTTTCTCTCTCTCCTTCTCTCTCTCCCTCTCTCTCTCTCCCTCCTGCCCTCTCTCCCTCCCTCTCTTTCTCCCTCTCTCTCCCTCTTTATCCCTCCCTCTCCCCCTCTCTCCCTCTCCCCCCCTCCCTCCCCCCCCCCCCCCCCCCCCCCCCTTCCCTCCCCTTCCCTCTCTCTCTCCCCCCTCTCTCTCCCTCTCTGTCTCCAACTTGTTGCTGAGATGTGAGCTCTCAGCTGCTGCTCCAGCACTAGAGAGTGCTGTCTGTCTGTCTGTCTGCTGCCATGCTTCCCGCTATGCTGTTCCCAGACTCACCTTCTGAGACTGAGCAAGCCCCCAATGAAGTGCCTCCTTTATAAGTTGGCTTGGTCATAGTATTTCATCATAGGAATGGGACAGTAACTAAGACAGCCTACAAGAGACAGTAACGCCAAGAAGCAGGGCCCCTGGCCACCCTGTGCAGAGGTCCAGGCATCTTCTCCACCAGAGAACTTGGCGAGAAGGGGGAAAGCTCCCATCGCAGCATGAAGTCTCAGCAATCGCCACCTTCCTTCCTCTCCCTCTTTCCCCTCCATTCCTCACACTTATTTCCCTTTTGATTCTAACCATAAATAATGGCCTGAAAGCTACTGCGTGGAGCAGTGCTTGCGTGGTAGGGCACACTCACACAGCCTCACGACCTGTCACACGGCATTAGGAGTCCACACCGGTGATGTCTGGCATCACGGAGACTGGCGCCATTAACTGGCATTTGCTCTGAGGTGCGCTTTACTGGACGGCATGATGGGTTTTAACCCTTTAACAACCCTCACAGAGTGGTATTACTAATGAAGCATCACAGTCTCATCTTCTGATTCAGAGGAAACTGAGTGTCCCTGGATGCCCAATAGCAGTTAAATCCAGTGGAGCTGGGACTCCAGGCTGGGTCTGTGTGACTTAAAGCACGCTTTTCATCATTCTGTCCCACAGTCTCCTTTCTCCACCAAGCACTGAAATCAAGCCAACCCTGTGATTTCTCTGCTGAAGTTCTACCATGAGCCTCTTAACTGGTGAATCAGCAGTCCATTCCTGCTGTCCATCCATGACACCCGAAGGCACCCTCAGGACGTGGGTGGGAGACTCCTCCAGAGGCCAGCTTTTCCATCTGCCTTCTCGTGTTTAATCTCACTATCACTTCTTCTCAGAACACTGGTCTATTTCCGGACGACTCCTCCTGCCTCCACACCATCACAGAAGGGACAGATGGGTGAGAGACAGACGGGAGAAGGGAAGGGAAGCTTGTGCCTGGTTCCCTATTTAATCCTCTGGGGTGGGAGAGAATTCTACCTTGGGTGACACTCCCGAGCCCAGCTCTGGTCCACTGGGGAGGGAGAGAGCCAGAGGTTGCCATCTTCCTGTGACTGGTGGTGTGTACAAGAGAGTCTGTCACAGCAGATCCCACAACCAAGGCCTGTGGCTCACGGTGCCCCACACGGTGCCCACACGGTGCTCCCAGCTGGAGGGGATGGGACAGGTAAGACTACAAGTGAACACAAAGGCTAGTGGGGGTAGTGGGAAAAGCGAGAGGGGAGGAAGGACAGAGACACAGAGGGAACAGCAGACTAGACAAAGAGGACAGACAGAACAAGCGAGGTGGGCAGGGGACCAAGTTCTATTTAATCCAGGAGGACAGAACACAAGTTAACCAAGTGTGAACTTGGCACCCACAGTCTCCTGGGCACCCAGAGACTGGCAGGCAGGAAAACACGGACCTGCATTTAGACGTGTGACTCACTACGAGTGTCATTTTGCTTCTACACGAATGTGATTGTGAGGAGGTGGCTGGAAGGACGGGGCTGCTCAGCTGCCTGGTGTTTGTCAAGCCGACACAAACCTAGACATGAGGGAAGCCAGACGGAGACAGGGCCTCGGTCAGCACCGCAGAGCGGCCGTGGGCAGAGCTGTGGGGTGCTTTCTCGGTCAACGATTGATACGGGAGGCCCCAGCTCGCTGTGGGCAGTGCCATTCCTGGGGAGGAGGGCAGAGGTTGCGCAGTACGGTAGAAGAGCAAGATGTCGGAGCAAGCCAGGAAGCAGTGCCCCGCATGGCCTCAGCTTCCCTGCTTCTGGGTTCCTCCTGCCTCAGGGTGAAATAGACCCTTTCCTCCCACGTTGCTTTCCGTCATGGTTTTACTACAATAGAAGCTAACTCGGACTAATGGAAACCCACAAAAGACGCATTTCCCCAGACAACGCCTGCACAGGGAGTCTAGACAGCTGCCTGCCGCAGAACAGACAGGCTCGGGGGTAAGGAGCTAAAAGCCAGAAAAAAAGATAAATGCTCTTGCTGGTGGCCATATCTGCCAAGTAAGATCTGATTAGACAGTGGGAAGAGCACAGCTCTCCTCACACCCGGTGACTCTGGGTGCACTAGTCTCAACTCGGCAAATGGCAACGAAACTTGAAGCCCAACAAACCCTCTTCAGGAGAGCAGCCTGCTACTTGAACAGAGTGTCAAAAAGACAGACAGACACACGCACACACGCACACACACACACACACACACACACACACACACACACACACATCAATGGGACGACAACTAGGGTTCATGGGCCGGAAGAACTCACATCACCCAAAGCGGCCTGCAGATTCAGCGCAATCCCAACCCAAGCCCCAGTGGCATTTCACAAAAGCATAAAGACGGTCTTAAGAGGGATGGAGAACTGTTCAGCTCATCCAGAAATACCCATTGTCTGCAGCTCTACTGTGTGGAGACGCCACAAACGAAGGGGTTGTTTGTCCCTCAGCGTGGGTTCTGCAGTAGTCAGACTGACACAGCTTATAAGAGCGCACTACAGTGCCGTTCTGCTGGGCGTGTGTGTGTGTGGGTGTGTGTGTGTGGGTGTGTGTGTGTGAACACCCCACTCTGTGAAGACTCCGTGAAGACTCTGTGAAGACTCCGTGAAGACCCCACTCCATGCAGACTCTGCTCAGCATCTTGGTCCCAGTGAGAATGAAGACAGAACTTGGGTCAGGCGACACCTGCAGCCCACTGTGACAGGCCCTGCCACTCCTGGTTGGCCAGTTCCTGAGAAGGACGGTAACTCATGGTCTAGTCGCCGATGCCAAGGTTCCCGGGGAAGACAAATGCTCCCGAGCGCTACAATCCAAGCGGACAGTGATACACTGAAACTATACCGTCGCCTCACATGGCTGCCCCAGATGGCTCCTCTGAGTGAAAGCCCTTTGACACAAAAGCAAACAAGACTCTACCACACTAACAAAGACCAGGTCACTGACTTCCTGACTCCTGGCCCTGCCTGAGTTCACTGCAGAGGAAGGGGGCACCGTGAGCCGCTGGCCTCTGTTAGCAATGGAAGGGTCCTTTTGGCTGGCTCCATTCTCTAAAAACAAGACCAGCACCTTCTATGCCGGGGCGCCCCTGCCTTTGCCATCACGCCAGCAGCTAAGGTGACACAGGCGGTCCCCAGCGTCTGCATCCCCCTGTCCGTCACTGTGTCCTCCTCTCCCTCCAGTCTGTTGGGCCTGTCACAGCCTCCTCTGCAGTAAAGCTGCTGCTGTGCCAACCTCAGTCCCAGCTGCCTAGACAGTCTCAGGGTCTTGTCCTGAGACCTTTCTGCTTCCGCGACCTTGGGAGCCCTGAGCAGTCATGTAAGTTCAGCTAGGCCACTGGAGAGTCTGAAACGGAGGCCAGCCAGTAAACAGAGGTCCTGGTACTACACAAGGAACCAAGGAATATACTCAATGATTAAAAAAAAAAAACAGCAACAGAGAGTTAAGGAATAGAAGCCACCCTACCAAAACGCACATCGAATGGCTGTGAAGGTGGGGAAGGTGGCTGGTGCCAAGCCTGACACCCTCGGTTTGAGCTCTCAGAACTACGTGGTCAGAGAAAAACAATCCCTGCAAGTTGTCCTCTGACCCACACATTCACAACAGCCAAGAGAAGGGAGCAGCCTCTAGTTCCATCACAGATGACCGGGAAAGAAACGTGCACGGAACTTCACCAGCTGTGAACAAGAATGAAATCGTGACTCTTGTGGAAAGGTGAATGGAACTGGAGATCACTGTGTCTTCAGAGAG